GAAATTCGGAAGTTTGGAAATTCAGAATCTCTTCAATTTAGAATTAGCATATAGAAATTAGTATATAGAAAATGGGAAAATCAGTAACCCTGCATTCCAGGAGTCAAAGATTTCAGAAGTCTTGGAATCTAGAAATTCTTAAATTCAGAAATTCAGAAAGTTGAATCTGATTAAACACTTTATAGAAGAGAACGGAACTTCTATCTTCATTCTCTTTCTCATGATATACCAAAAAAAATTTTGTATTTTTCATAAACGCACGTTTTCGAATGCGCATGGATATAAACCCGGCAGAGATAGATAGAAAATCAGACAGGCGCAGAGAAAGAGAGCAGATAGTGATGTGATATCTTATCATCACATAATTATTTGTTTCTCTCGTAGTTCTCTCTTATTTTTTCTTATTTTCTTTCAATTTTATACTACGATTTTTCTCCATTTTCCTTTAATTTATTACCACCCAATTAACGTAAATTACCCTTTTCAATTACCTAACAACTTAAAAACTAGGAAAAATCTTCTATGTTGTAATCTGATATTTGACACAAATAGAGAAAAATGACACGTGGAAAAAGAATATAAAGCGAGTTTGAAACCTAAAAGAAAACTGTGTGATTTTTCGGAAAAAAGTATGGAAAGAGTGAAGAGACGCAGAGAAAAAGAAAAAAGTTCGTCGGTAAAATATGTTGCATTTTTCTATATTTACTTTTAGGCCAACACACTCGAATTTCCGTGCTCTTTTTTGATGTCAAAGTTCAATTTACTTTGGCTACTTTAGGAACAAAGATTAGAGATTACAGTATCACTCTATTACACAAACTTGAAAAAAAAGACATTTTGAATATGCGCGCCAGTGAAACTTGTGTTTTTTAGAATTTCATGAGTTGATTCGGAAAGTGAGAAATCGAGTAATTCGATAATTTCAAGAAATAGCCAAAAAACGAAATTGGAAAATTGAGGAAAACTAAAAATTAAGAACCTTCAAAAATATTAAAGAGATTGGGAAATTAGAAAATTCAAAAATTCAAAATCCAGGATTCAGAAAAACGAATTTGTTTAAAATTCCGAAATATAGACATTCGAAAACCTAGAAACTTCAGAAATTCATAATTTCGGACTTTCAATAGTTGAAAAATTCAGGAAATCAAAAATTCAGAGAAAGATAATTGAGAAACTCAACAATTAGAAATATTAGACATTTTGAAAATTGGTATATTTAGGAATATATAAATTTCAGAAATTCAAAAAATTCAAAAGCTCAGAAGTTGAAAAATTTTCTAATTTAGCAATTCAGAAACTCGGAAATTTAGAAAATTAGAAAACGAGAATGTGGAAGTTCAGAAGTTTGGAAATTAGGAAATTAGGAGATTCAAAAAATCGAAATTCGGAAAGTCAGAAACTTTAGGAAACTAGAACTACAGAAATTTGGAATTTCAAAAATTCAGGAGTTCGATAGTTCAAAAATTTAGAAGTCAAATTCCAAAAGTTAGAAAATCAGAAGTTCTCGATTTCCGCATTTTTTTTTGAAAAACATAGTTGTATCAATAGAGCTTTTTTGCTAAAACAATTTTCCTGAGGTTTTCGGGAAATCCTATCAAGTTTATGGCGATATAAATAACTGATAATCTTCATTTATATGTACGAATATCTGACATTTCAAGAATTGAAAGAAGCCTTAAAAGAAGAGGATTATCTCTGTTTTTTGTATAGATTTATTTATCTTATTTTTTGAGAAATCCCATTTAAAAATAGAAATTGGGCACAAACTATATAGAAAAACGCTTTAGAACGTGCGCTCTATAGACAAAATGTTTTGATCTATTTTTTGGGAATTTTATTTTCAAACAATTTTGATTGTCTTTTTTAACAGAACACGCAATACATGTCAGACGGCATGAGAAAAACGAATCGACACATAAAAACAGACAGAAAATAGATGTTTCGTTTTCTCGCTCTGAAAAAATTAGAGATCAGGTAAAGTGAGGAGAGTAGGTTAAAGAAAAAAAGAAAAATTGAGAAATGAATGCAAAAAAAACACGGGAAAAGGAGCGAACAAAAATGAAATGAGGAATCGATAAACAAGAAAAAAAAGAGGAGAAATCATTGAGAGTGAGAGAGGTGCTTTTTCATTTGGTCCCATTTGTGGTAATAGAGAGAGGGAGAGAGACGCAGAGAAAAAATTGAGAAAAGATGAGCAATAGGAGTAGCAGAGCAATTGTAGATACTTGCAGGGTTAAAAGTGGGAAAATATAATTCATTAAGTCTCTTATTCTTCGGTTCCGAGATTTCAAGGTTTCTGATTTCGAGATTCTGAATTTATGAAATTTTGAATATGTTATTTTTGAAATATCGGAAATACAAGACCTCGAAGATACATAATTTCTGAATTTTTTATTTTTCTGGCATTCTAAGATTCAGAAATTCTTCAAAATTTGTAACTTTCGAGTTTTTGATGTACTGTTTTCGAAAATAATTCTGGAATTGTAATCTTCTGAAGTTTCCGAATTTTTGAGTTTCTTAAGTTATAAAATTTCGAAGATTCCTGAATAATTTCATTTCAAAATATCAAACATTTAGACTTTCGGAATTTCAAAATTTCTGAATTTCTGAATTTCTAAAACCGAATTATAATTCAATCTACGAAAATTTCTGAATTTTTGAAACGAAAATTCGAACACATCAGTTTTCCGAACTTTGTGTCTAAATTCTAACTTTCTGTTGTTAAATTTGAAATTTCGAAATTTATTTTTTTTTCTTTTGAGAATTCTCAAATCTACTTTTTCTATTCTAAAATTCTCGACAGATCACTTTTAATAATCAATTATTCAGGCTTCCTCATCTCACTATCAGTTGATATTATCAAATATTCTAACAGGAACTAAACAAAAGTTTTTCTTTCAAAAATACTTTTGTGGTTTCTTTACATATTTCATAGTCTACGACAGATGAAAATAGAAACTAGAAAAACTATGAAAAATGACATTTGCATTTCTCTTTTTAAATCTGGAACTGGTGTGAGATTAGTTCCGTGTCAACTGATAGGGTTAGAAGGAAGGGGACAAATTGAGAGATTCGAATTTTGGGAATTCAAAAATTCTCGCCATATTTTTTGGCCTTATGTGCTGTAAAATTTGATTGTACCTCTTTTAGTTTAAAAAAAACCAACTTCGAATGTCTAAAAATGAGGAGTGAAGTTGATAACTTCAAATTCAAAATTATGAAAATTTAGAATTTTTAAAACAAATTTTAAAATTTGAATTTACACTCCAGACATATATAATCTCATTAATCAAAATATAAAATCCAAATTCGAAGTTTCCAAATTTAGAAAATGCTCATTATGACCTCAAACTTTCCTTCGCTTCATTTCATAATTTGTACTCTTGTGACGTAAATGATAATCCTAAAAATTCCTTTTTGGTTGTTTTTTCTTTTTGATGAGTTTAAAAAAAATATATAATCAAGAAGGGATCTGCCATGACATTTCACTTTTAGAATCTCAGAATCTGTAATTTTCAGAACCTCAGGATTTTAGAATCTCGAAATCTCAAAAATTCGAAATTCAGGAATGTCGGAAGCTCGGAATCTCGAAATATTAGAATCTGCAGACTCTGAATTTCAGAACTTCAAAGTCTTGGAATTTTACACTTCGAATCTGAGAATGTCCGCATTTCGAACTCTCGGCATCTAGGAATCTCAAAACCTCGAAATCTCTGAATCTATGTATCGATGAATCTTAGAGTCTTAAAACCGCAAAACCTCACTATCAGAATTGAATCTTGAACCCTTTGATTTTTAGAATTCTGGATTTCTCAAACCTTGTAATCTAAAATGCGAACCCGAAAAAAACAAGTTCCTACCTTTATCCGCTACGAAATACTTGAGTAGAAAAAGTGAATCAATCACCACGAAAAAATGTTTCGGAGAAGAACAAAGAAATGAAAATAATGAGAAAAAAGAGAGCCAGAATTTATTGGGACAGCTGTCATCTCGAAACGAACGAAACATGGTTAATTATCTCTTTTTCTCTGAGTCAAAAGTGATTCGTTTGTTTGTTAGGGCGCGGTTTTTCAACAAAAAAGCGAAAGAGATGAGGAAGTTTTTGAGAGATAAAAGAGATAAAAGGGATTGTCTTGAGAGCTTTGGAACATCAAATAAAGGTGTCAAAAAGGGAAAGAAAAATGAATGAGTGGGTTTGGTAAACAGACCAAAACACAATGGGGTCAACAGATCGGACAGATTCCTTTTGATTTTTTTGATGGGAAAGTAGGATTTTTTGAACCTAGAAAATTCCGTGAAACCTCTAAAATGTGGAAGGACTCCCAAACTGTTTAAGCTCAATTATCAATTATGTTTAAGCTCAACTGTTTGATATCTTTGACAGGAATCGTGATAACTGAGTTCAAAGTTACAGTACCTATCTATTGCAGGTAATGGGAGATTCTGAAAACCCAATTACAAACCTTCAAAGAATCAGTTTTAATTGAACACTAACTCTAGATTTTATTTGATTTTGGGGTTTCAAGACTTCAAAGATAATTCAACAATTTTTAACTTCCAAGTATTTTCAGAATTCTAGAAACAAGTTAAACAAAAGGGAAATGTTTTCAATCAATTTTTTCCAAAATTTTGAAATCTCAAATTTTGAAAAATTCATAATTTTAAAATTTCGAAATAATTTCGAAAAAACCCAACACTTAAAAAGTCTGAAAGATCCCAAAATTTCATGAAAATTACTGACTTTGATTTTTGGAATATCTCCGAATCAAAGATCAGTTTTGATTTTTATTTTTGGAGAGCAATGAAGTGTCGGAAAGGATTTATTTGATCAGTGAGAAATGATAAAATTACTGATCTTTGTTTTGGTGATGTTTAGAAATAATAGGTTTTTTTTTAATTTTTGATTTTCGATTCTAAATTATTTTTACGAATCCGCAATTCCGACACCGGGAAAAATGAACAAAAACTTCTAAAATTTCGAATTTTCAGATCCATAAAAAATGGACGGTTATCATTTTCTAGGCCTCGATTTGAGTACACAGCAGGTAACATTTTTTGAATTTTTTTGTTGACAACGTCTTTTGAATGTTCAGCTTAAAGCAATAATTATCGATCAAGATGGAAAACCCGTACACACTGAATTTATTCCATTCAATAATTACAGCGAAAAATATGGGTAAGTTTTGGGATTTTTGAACATTTAGATTTTGAAACTCAAATGGGAGTTGAACGAATTTCATTTACCGTAAACGCTGTATTAGAACATTTCTTTTAATAGAAGGGCCCTCTAATAGAAAGGCCGCTGTAGTAGAAGGGTCCACGGAAGGTACCTTGGAACAATAGAAAAGCCGGCCCTTCTAATACAGGTTCCTACACAGTTAGATTACTTTTCCAGGACCAAAGACGGCGTCTTAAAAAACGGACAAGTGATAACTAGTCCAGTGAAAATGTGGCTGGAAGCTATTGATGATTTATTTGAAGAATTACGAAAAAATGGATGGTTGAAACAGTTAAAAGGAATATCAGGATGTGCCCAACAACATGGGACAGTCTATTGGAAAAAAGAGGCGGAGCTTATATTGAACAATTTGGAATCAGAGAAAAGCCTGAGGGAACAGTTGGAGGTAGGTCAGATTCAAGATATGGAAAAAAAGACAGAATTCTTAAAAACAGCAATAATGATATCCGCATCTTGTTTTCATTAATCTGTTTTTCAGGGAACATTCCCTTATAAAATATTAAAAAGCCAATCAAAAAAGGCTTCATGACCACATTTTGCAGAATTGTTTTTCTGTCGAAAACAGTCCGGTATGGATGGATTCAAGCACGGAAAAACAGTGTCAGGAAATGGAAAATTTCGTCGGTGGAGATATGAAAATGTCTGAAATCACTGGATCCCGAGCACATCATCGATTCAGTGGAGCTCAGATTAAAAAGATTGTGGAGGATGGAAAAGGCACTTGGAAAATCACAGAGGTTTGGATTTGAGGGGGGGGGGGGGGG